TATACTTTCTTGCTTTTTTTACAACAAAAATGAAAAAACTGATTTATTGTGATAAAAAACAAAGTTCAAGATAGGTACACAAAAATTTATTTTTCTTTAGTTTTATATAATTTACAATATACAAAATCCAGGATCAAATTCTGGTTATTAGAACTCTATCCAGTAGAATTTCCTAAATTAAATTAAATTCACTTAAGTATATAAAATATTTTACAAAATTTACATGTATATTTATTACTAGGTAATTAATAATTGTATCTAGATTTCATACTTATAAATGATCTGGAGCTTAAAAACTATGGTTTATTAATAACTGGGGTGATCATCAGACATCAATCATCATTGTTGGTAGATAAAAATATACCTACAATAATTACCTACGTATAGGACATAGATAGGTACTCTAATAAATAATAATAAACTATAAACCTAGTATAATAATTATGGTTGGTTGATAGATCTATAAAAAATAAATTATTATTATTATAATTTATAACCGTGTATAATATGCAATAAAAATATATAAGGTAGGTAGGTAGGTATAAACTGGTATATAGGCACCTATATCAAATATTCAAATGGTAGCGAGAGGGTTAAAAGAACATTATTTTAGAATTATTATTATCTAAATTAAATCGTATACTAAGAAAACGAATTAAACGATAGGTACCTACTGTACATACTGTATTACCCATATAATATTGTAATAACGTATGGTTTATAACGGCTATACTATATTAGTAAGGTACCTATACTTAGGTATATATTACCCAATTACAGCTTTTAACTTGTATTCTCGGGTACAAGTAAAACATGCAAGGAAATAGGGCCATATAATGTTATAAAAAACATTAGCTACCTATATAATAGTACCTATAGGTACCTATTTAGAATTAGGCAGATACTTATTATTCATCACTTGTGTATAAATGTAACATGTTAATAATAGAGAGACAGATTAAAATACCTAGGTACTAAATGAAACAAATCGTACACAACATGTTTATAACAGGAGATATGGAGATCATTATAGAAAACAAAAATTGATATTATTTGGTCGTAATTAATTATTAGGTGCATGTTATAATTTTAACTACATAGGTAAATGTTTTGTTTGGAATGTATTGGGCTGGTAGGTAGGTAGCCAAGTAGGTAGGTAGGAAGTAGCCACTGTCCACTAGTTAATTAGGTAGGAGGTACGGGTACCTATCTAGTATCTGGCCAACTATGTACTGGACTAGTTATTTGTCTGTGATTAGGTTCTTTTTGGTCCTGTACTACTGTTGTAACTTGTAAGTACCTACTGCACAGTTAACTATGGGAGAGAATAAAGTTTAACATCCAAGTGCAGATTTAAATACCTTGCTTAGACCAATGGACCTAGGTTGGTAGGAGGGTACCTACCAAACGGCAAACAAAAGGCAATAATGTTGTACTCTCCATATTTTCTCCTGGGGTTATAGTTCCAAGGGAATATTTAAGGGGCGACCAGTTACTAGGCATTTATTTTTATAGATTACATTTTTTTGTATAGGTTCATTAAAATACAGTTTACAGTTCCACTTATATGTGATATGATAGGGATGAATATTGAATTTTTAATAACGTGTTGTATTAAGAGGCCTCGCTACGGCTATTATTTAAGGGGCAACAATTAGGCAAATTCTAATCTCGCTTAAGCCACCCGGAATCTATGTTTTGGTTGTAAATTATTAATAGTAAGTCAAAACTTAAAGTCTTTACTTTGAGCTAAAATTTATGGCAGTAGGCCTCTTAAGTATTATACATTAAAATATACCTATATATTGTTATACACTATTATTTATATAAATTATAATTTTGTATATTTCAATGTAGGTTTTAAAATAAAAAAATGCCACACTCCTTGTATCCGCCCTTTGTGATTACTTATACACCTATAGTATATTACGTATAATATTTATAAAATTATGGAAAAGTACAATATTTTTAGAATACCTATCGTACTTATTCATGCGGGTTGCGGACTTACATAGCAGGAATCTATACCTATAACTTATCAAGATATACACGGTATAATATTGTAAGTTCATCCCACAAAAGTCAGAAAATTTAAACAAATATCTATATCTACATCGAAACACTATAACATATGAACACGTTACACGTATTAAGACCTAAACACTTGCCAAAATATGTAATATCGTATGTAGGAATGCATTTTTGAAGGTACCTAACACTAATGCTGGGTTGCACAAAACATTAATTAATGAATCAATAGTGACCTAATGGTCCCTTAAACAAGATTTAGTGGCCCACGATTGATCTATTAAATGTTTAGTGTACCATTCAATTTAATAAATTGTTCATGTAATCCAGCATAAATGTATATTGCATATTATAATAAATTATAAAATTAAATAAGATACGCCTCATTACCTACGTATTCTTATTTTAAAATGTTACACATTTATTATATTGTATTATTGTAAGGTAGTTTTTGTCAGATAAAAGTTTAGACAAATAAGATAGGTACCATAAGATTTCAACGAAGAAAGATTGTTAAAGTATAGATGTGTTTTTTTCGAAAACCCAATAGATCTAATGGACACACTTACAATTTTAAGTTAGGTACCTTACATATAGTTTATTATAAAACTAGTACCTAAATATTAGAACACAAATATATATATTATATTTTAGAACATCGACTAAATTACTAACAATTACCTATACGGCTATAATGCTTTATAAACGTATACTTTGTGGATATATTGAAATGTGTATGAAATTTCATACATTTCTGGTAGGTATAATATTCATGGCAACATCAAATGCGGTGTTGGTATCCTTTTAAATTATCAGAGATGAAATAAAACTATGGATCATGAATGGACTGCAATGACTATAGATTTTCTTATGTAGTTAATTTGTTTAACATTTAAAACTATATCCATATTTACGTGCATATCAGTGGCGCATTTTAGGATTTTTTTTGTGGTGGTGGGTTGTCCTATCAATATTTGATATATGATAATAATTTGTATTCGTCAACTGGCCAACTTTAAGTTTGTACAAAACGTTATAAAAAATGTAATATAAAAATGCTGACATCCTATTTATTTTGGGCTTAAAGGGCAGGGTTTTTATCCCCTCCAGAAACCTCCCAAATACGCCACCAGATCATTTGATACATACAATAGAGTTAGGTATTTATATAGACCTAGTAACCAGTGCCCACTGTTGGTAAAATAGCACCTATATTATTAAATTCGCATTGTACTTTATAGTACTTTATGTCACAAATCATTAAACTTTTAAATTGCTGTATTCTTCATTAAATTATACTGAAAAATAAAAACTATACCTACCTACAATAAGAACATTTTCAAATATATTTTTATAATTCAACACAATTATTTTAGCTTAATAAACAAATGTAATGGAGTAAAATGCATGATATTTTATTCGTTTATTGTAAGCAGACTATTAATATGTAAATATATGTATAAATAAATTATATAGGTACCTATTAACATGCTTGGTGGATATACCTACCTAATTGTCTTTATATGGGGCATTAGCTACTCGTTTTTCATTTTATTTATAATATAGTACCTATTTAATGGTTTCGCAATTAAAAAATAAATGTAGTAAATTAGTATCAGGCAAATTAATTTTTTCAAATTATAAGCTACCTATTTTAGACAGACGGTTTATATAATGCAACTTGAAACTATATAGTTTTATGCACTAAGTCGGGAAAAAACTCAAAAGCGGTCCAAGGTATTTTGATTTAGAGGAAATTTCAAAAGTTGAATTTTTTTATAAATTCAATCAGTGCAAAGGTTACTACAAATTATTATAATGTCTATTGCCCAATGTATAAACAGTGTACTAATATTTTACTAGATTTGTCATTGGAGAAATATTTTTTCCATAGCTTATGCCTTATTGTATTACAATTTACAAATAAAATTTTTTTATGAATAACAATTAAATTATTAAATCCCCATCATACTGGTACCATGTAGATAAGCCCAACCCAACCCAACAAATATGGCCCAGGCTGTAGGTATATTGGCATGTTAAAGTTAGTGATTTGTATAAGTGTATTGTGGGCATTGATGTATAAACAATAAATATTGTAATAGGTATACTTTGTACAGTTTACCTAGGTACCTATTATTATTTGTTATTAGGTTGATATTTAACTCAGTTGTATTATAGGCCGGTGTGTTAGGTATATCATATATTTTAAGAGGTATTTATACATTTTTAATAGCTGTTAATGCATCTCATTGCTAGTAACCGTTGGAGAAGTCCCATTACTTATGCAACCCGGGCACTGTTTACAATCATATTCAAATTATTTTTATTTCAAATTGCTAGTAACTGATGGATAAGTTTAATTTGTTTACACCAGTAGGTAGGTAGTAAGAATAAACGTTATTGCCGCTATAGATTTACAATAATTATTTTTAATGAATAGTTTAAAAAATATTCTTAATCTTAAAAACGCATCACCAAACACTAATTAATATTAATAATAATAATAATAATTTGGAAGAAAAAAATTGTTCAGCTAATCAGCTCCACCTCGTTTGCATTTGTACAGAGTTGTTCGTGCTGCTGTCTTGCGTGTAAACACGGTATCTGAAACACAAGGTAGTTTCACAATTAAAAATTACAAATATTTTTGTTTAAGCTGAGTGCAAAAATAATATTATATGTTGTTATGTTAACGAATGCAATTTTGGAATGTGATCAGTATAGCGTATAGGTACCAATACTTAGATATTTAAATATTTGGTGCCTAACTGCTCATTGCTCAATAATCTGAAATAGATAGGCACTGTGAAAAATGTTCCTAAAATTAGAAATTAGGTCTATACTAGACAGTAGGTAACCAAATAATAGGTTTTATTATTTTTTTTAATGATCTACCACAAATGACATGTATTTTCCGTTTTCCATGCGATTCTACTTACAAAACACAACGATGCACATCACATTGGTTCTCAAAATAACTGAGAGTCAGCTGGATAGGGTTTGAATTGATCTTTGGAAAATCGCCATTTGTTTGAATCACCTATAATTAAGACAAACATTGATTCTACATTAAACCATGTTTTATATTTAGTCTAAAAAAATCATTACTCATAATATGTTGGTTATTGTTATTATTATTTTTATTATTATTATGGCGATGATGATGATGATGATAACGATTGATGATGTATAATATGGGTAATCGGGATATAGTGCGAGGGCCGAGGACCGACCGTCAGTATCGTCCACCACACCAATCGATCAACGTACCGAACAGTTTTTATTAATAAAGAGATATTTGTGGCTTGTACTTTGTTACTTTATTTAACAATATACACACCCCTCGTCATCAGCATCCCCATACGATTTATCCTGATCGACCCAACAATTCAATAGCTAATAAATAATAGCCCATTTTATTATTTATCATAATATAATAACTAATGAGTATTAAATTGCATATTTCAACATGTGTTTGCTCGTTCAAGTTTTTTAAATTGACTTATATTCATATTTTTAATTTCAGTGCCTTGCTTGAATTTCTATGTTTTCCTCTAAACTAGGTACCTATTAATTTGTTTATATTGTTGCAGAAAAAAGATCGACGAGAACGTGGAGAATATAGCTGCAGTGAATGTTAAAATCATTCTATTCTATTCAAGCCACGATACTTGAGTGGACTGAGTGAAGGATTTTGATATATTTGCTTGAGGATGTCAGAGCACTATTCACGGAAAAACCCAAACAGTTGTTTGTACTATAAAAATAGTAGGATTGACTGTACATTATAATTGCTATAGGGATAGCTATAAGGTTAGTCAGATTTACTAAAATATCATAGACAAGTTATTATAGTTATTCGAACTGAAATATGCTTTTTAACTATATTTTTTAGTTAATTCAAACATTAAAAACTGCCTTAACTTTAAAATATAGTACACATTACCATCAAAAATAACTATATTTGTATAGTCATAAGAAGTAAATCATTTTAGTTATTTTACCTATTAAATAGTTATATCTACTATAATTTGTTAAACTATAATATTATAGTAATTTTTTTTCGCTGCGGCCCACGCGCAACATAGACAAAACGCATTAACGCAGAATCATTTTTTCTATGTTTTTATGTAATCTTAGAATAAAATCACCCATTTCAAAAAAGATAGAGAATAATATTTTTGAGGGAATGACATCGATTTTATATTATATTGTTATTTGACTTTGTATTCGACATTCAAAATAAACAAAAACATTTTGGAAATTTAAATTGTTTTGAGACAATATTTTGACAAATCGATACGTCATTCGCATCAAAAATATTATTCTCTATCTTTTTTTAAATAGGCGATTTTACTCTAAAATTATTTAAAAACAAAATGATTCTGCGTAAATGCGTTTTGTCTATGTTGTGTGCTGGCTAGAGAGAGAAAACAAATAGTGCGCTGAAATCCTCTTATTCCTAGATGGTGTTTGTATTTGCACGTGTTGATACATTATATTTCTTTAAATTTTAATAAATGTTTATTAGTAATATTATTAACAGTTAATCAAAAATATGTACATAATTAAATATTTACTATTTTATAAATAGCTGTTATATGTCTACAGATCCGTTCGTCATAAATGTATAATAAATCCAAAACATTTAAATATTATGTTTCAGTAATTCTATTACGTAGTCTGGTCAACTACTGATAGCTGCCAAATATGTTTAAAGAAATGTCAGCAATCCTGAGTAGAAGTGTGGAGATGAATGCTCATTGCTCAAATATCCTAAAGCCCGGTCTATGTATCCTAAAGTTTGGATTTTTAATTATATCTACATAGATTTTTGAAGAATTATTTTCATCTTCCATGAAAAACCTAGTGCAGTTATAATACATTAATTTTACTCTAAAAACAAATAAGACTTATATTACCTATAGGCTATATGTATACATTATAAATTATTATATGTTTGAGCCGAGAAGGATACAATGCTATAGGTATTATATTATCAACGCCACGTTTAATTATTTTTCACACTTTTATGTTAAATTATTCCTCACAATATATGATGCATAGGTGGTTTAATGTGTATAGAAGTTAGGTTAGGTGTATAATCTGGTGGGTATGTAGGTTGTAGTGGTTATACACTTATAAACTACCTATAGTATTATGTATAGTGTATACAACATATAATATACACATAAAGGTTTGTATCCAGTGAATGAAAATTCACATTTTATTACCTTCCTACATATTAATTGCGTTTAATGATACTATTATAAAGCACGTGGTGTCCCGGCCACTGACTATCCATCGAAGTATACAACTCACATAATGAAACAATATCTGTAGATGTCATAACAATTCACAATATACTTATATAATATTGCCTCTCTTCCGATGTTTTTCTGATTTTATTACAAACGATATTTAATTTCATTAAAAACCAAATGTTATTGATGTAATGAATGATGTAGCATTATGAGGTACTGTATAGGTACATAAATACATATATACAACCATACAATTATACAACTTACTAGATATAATATTAAAATAATAAATACAAAATAGTACCTATAAATATAAATATTTGTTTGTAAACAATAACAATCCTAGACTCATTTTGAATCTTTAACTATTAAATGCATTAAATATGTATAGTTTATGCAGCAAACAAGGTACCTATACTGAAAAATGAACTTTTAGAGCCTTGGTTTGATTAAAACAAAAAAATTTCTCAGTGTTTTTTTTTAATGTCATGATAAAAGTACTGTGCCCCAACTTGGATTTACCTGGGGATCTCTTTAATAAATATGCCACTGCTCAATTAGTTAGAAAACTTCAAATTTATTTTCATTAGTGCATATCTACAGTTGGTAATAAAAACAATTATCAATAATATTTTGAATTTGTATTACATAAATAGTTAAGATTCTACCTATGACATAATCGAAATCAGTGTCACAACTATGAGTTTTGGGAGCGGGGAGCTAGTAAGTATTGTATATATGTATTATATAAAGCCCATGTGGGGGGCGTCACCCTGTTCCACCACGGGTGGTTATAGCTGCACTGCTAATTTCAACACTGCAGATGCATGTTATAAAAATCTCATGATTTATTACTGAACACAAGTTATTTATTATTTAATTTATTATACAAAAAAATAAAGATTTTATAATATCACAGACGATTTTTAAAAAATGGTACCGATATAGTACGTCGTATACATAGTCGTATATATGGTATACTGGCATATAGCCTTAAAAATGAAATAAAAATATGACCTGATTATAATGTACCTATAAATACCTAAGAGTATATAAATAATAATGTCAAACATCTTCGAGTTTTGAATAACTGTGTGTTTTTGCATGCAAAATTAATGAAAAGAACACATTTTGCGACTATACCTAGGTAAAGCAAGAATATTATTTTGGATTTCAGATTTCTTTTTCTTTTTAAATACCATATCGTTATAATTATATTATACATATAGTTAACTATAATATAAGTAATCCGATTTATTGATATTATAATTTATAGTTGTTTGAAAGTTTTCATTATATTATTTTAGAAATAATATAATTACTACTCGTTATGTAAAACAACGATTAAATTTGCTTGTTTACTTGCCTAGTGAATTGAGACCATAGTGCGCTTGATACATATTCTGAGCATTGGTAGCCATCGTCGTGATCGGCACGGAACTGAGTGACGAGTTCTGATGGTTGTAACCGCTCATGGTAACTGTACTGCCGGTCAGTTGACTGAGTCCTAAGAATGTTCAATATTTTAACTTTAAACGGTTTCAATGTTTAGACACACGAAAGACGAAACAAATATATAATATTCTAATCATATGAATTAAAAATTATAATAATAAAAAATCAATTATTATATTAATGTATTTAATTATTATGTAGGTATACGGTATCTACTATCTAGTTTCTGTACCTCTTAATTACATAAAAAAAAGAAGATTTTGTATACAATTTATATCCTAAACTGTAATAAAATTTAACTTTTGAGACACAAAATAAGACAATTTTTTGAATTTTATTTTTCATAACAGATTTGAATAAAACCATTTAATGACTTGTGTATTAAATATTTAAATGTTAATATAGGTATAAGATTATTTTCTGAGGTTACGGACACATTCGGGGGGCAATGCACCTCAAGTAGTCAAGTTATCGTCTAGATTAAGGTAACACTTGTTAAATTACTATTTATAATATGATTATATGAATCTGGTATTTTTAGCAGTAAAAGGAGTACATTGGACATGCCGGATTAAACATTTGTGACCCTAGACAGTTATTTCGGGGCCCCATTGAAAATTATTACCTAGTTATATCTTTAATATTACTACCTACTCAATAATTAAAATACTCACTTTTAATAATAACCAATTAATTTTAATAAATAAAACAATGTTTATTCAATTATTTCACTAAAACTCTTACCTATTTATTTAAATTTTTTTTTTTTATAATTGGCATAGCTACAACCAATCTCTGCACCTACTCACCTCGTGTGCGGTATACTTTAAACCAGTGGTTCTTAACGGGGGCGCTACCGCCCCCTTGGGGGCATTTCGGTCTCTATGGGGGGCGATAGTTTTGAAGGGGGCATTAAGGGGCGGTGAGCTTTTTCAAACTAAGAGATTAAAAATAATACAATTTATTAATATTACATAACAACACTACAAATAATTGAACGTGAAATCAGAATAGTTGTAATTGCGTACGATACAACGACATACGGAATGTTATCTAATCGCATTTTACGTATCGGGAACGTCTTGTTTATAAAAAATTTATTTTTAAATTTTCAACCATAACTGGACTATTGTATACTAGCTGTACCTTGCAAGTTGAAAAAGGATTTAGCTTTTGACGAAACAAAGAAATTGGTTGTACATTTGTAACAAAGGTGATCTACGTTTAGCTTTGACCAATATCGAACCAGACTTCGCCACGTTAGCAGCTATTCATCAGGCTCAGGGCAGTCATTGATAGGTATAATTTTTATATTTTATAATTTTTTTTTCATAGTTAAGTAATTCTTTTTGTTAAGTGGTAAAAAATATAACTTTTATTATCTAAAAATAAGAGTTTTTACTTTAATTAATAATGTTATACTGTAATATACTGATGAATAAATAAATATATATATATATCTTTATTAGAAGAAATTTTGATTTTGAGGGGGGGGGGGCGTTAGCGGTAAGTTATTACGATAAAGGGGGCGCTGAACTAAAAAAGGTTAAGAACCACTGCTTTAAACCTATTTATCTACATATTATAGGTGTGTAGGAATATATAATAAATTCAACTAATATAACTACCATAATATAGAATATATCATACAACTATACAAGTATAGTAAATAAATATACTATACCCGTGGCCATGCTAGTCACACCCCATCTGGTGTCTGGAGAGCTGAACATTGACGTGGGACACAAACTGTCGGACATGGACCCAAACGGTGGTAGTCCGTGGGACGGCAACAGGGCACCAGGGCTCCTGAACACGTTTGTTGATTTCTTGCGTTTTTTCCATTTTGCTCTTCGGTTTTGGAACCAAACCTTTTAATCAAAGATATAAGTTCTCCGAATCAATTTATTTTACTTTGAATATTAAATTATTTACATATTTAAATAGGTACCTATATATATTTATAAAATATATTATAAATACGTTTTTGATTAAAAATTGCTTGCTCAGTTGCTTTATGCTTAGATATGGTTTATATGTTGGTTGTTTTCATTGGTGTATATATATATATATAATGGTAACGATTCGTTTGTGTATCTAAGCCACGAGACAAAAAAAACGCAAAAGTTTTATGTCTACACATAGTCGGAACAAAAGAAATGCAATAAAGTGCTTATACTGTCGGTATACTAATTTATTTTGTAAGTAATAAAATGTACAATATCTGGGCTTTCGGGAGTTATAATTTTGTACTATAATTTATCAAATGACGTGAACCCCCTATCCCGTATGTTCGGTACGTGAAAAGTAATAAAAGTAGAGGGGTTGTATCTAATAATCCTGTAATCCCGTTGACCTAGGGATTACTGAATGAAAACCAATTTATTCATGCCTTCTGATGTTCGGCGAAGTTCATTTTTTTCGCCCCTCCTTGCGATTAGTCGTACGTGTATAACATGAAATATCTTAACATATAAATTGTTACAATGAAACATGTGACTTGGTCGAGTAGAATAAGTGGTTTTGATATGAAAATATTTGATATTAATATTTAATATATGGTCTTGGTAAAATTGTATGATACCTGTATAATACACAACGGTACCATCAACTTTATGAAATTGACTGATTTCGTGAGTGTATTCAGTTCATTTCACTAAATTGAGCATTTTAATTCTACAACTTTATCGTGATGACTGGCGATCAAATTTCAATTTCCTCTCAGCTGCAGGGTAAACAAAATTATATAACCTAACCAATCCGCACCATAGTTATTATATAGACTACCTATATTATGGCTATAGGTACCTATATATGTATAGCACTATAGCGTATGCAATTAATATCTGGTACAGTCTACAACAATTTACTCTGTTCACTTGTAGTCTATTGTTTATATTTATATCTAACTACAGATTCACTATTAGGATTCAGTTATAGCACGTGCGGTTAAAAGTTATCATTATGTGCGCCAATTTTTCCACTAGCGTCTAGCTCTCCCCTAAAATCATCACTACCTAGTCCCGTTACTTTTAATGCAATCGAACAACTGTAGTTAGACTGAAGAAAGTTTCCACTGCAATTATTGAAATGCATTTTGAGAATTTTAACTACACAACGTTTATTGTGAAGACTGGTGATAAAATTTCAATTTCCTCTCTGCTTCAGGCTAAACAAATTTAGGTACACGCACAGACTATAAAATACTATATACTACTTTTAAATTAATTATTAAAAGAATAGGTAAAAGCATAATGTATTTCTATGGGTATACGTGTTTAATTATTACATCAATTTTTCGGGACAAAAAAATGCCAAATATAATATATGATAAATGTTTATTATTGGCAAATCCCAAATTTTTTTTTTTTGCAGATATAATATATTATTTAGTAGGTAAACAGTGTACAACAACTGCTACAAATTAAAATATAATATAGTAGGTATATAGTATATCGTATATACCATTAGTAGGATGACCAGATATAACATTTTAAAATATGGGATTAATTATCATTTTTATATTTACCAAAAGTAAAACGTTTATTTTTAATAAAATAACATAATATTATCATCCTTTATTGAATAAAAAAAATACCTCATTAGTATTTAGATAATGATATATTAATACAGACATAATATACTTAACCTCTAGTAATGATGCATGTTTGTCATCTAATACTGTGGCTGTAATTTTCTACATATATTTATTATAAGTATAATGAAAATAGTTAATAGGACATATTTTTAAAAAAACCAAAGCTATGGGTGAGACACAGGGACAGATTTTTAAAATACGGAATAAACGGGAGGTCTGGCCACCCTATAATAGTCTACTAGTAAAATGTAATTTATTTTAATATTATAATAACAAAAAAATTTGCTTAAAAAACACACAACATGTTTAAAGTGCTTACATTTCTTTATGACATAATATCACAAACTCTCAAAATAATATAATTTGAATAATCAAAAACCAAATGTAATTTGTAAACAGTAGGTATGTACATATACCGATGTTCATTTTCTTTAGTTTAATATATACAGTCAGTATACTATATTGTTTATAAATAAAAAACTGCAATAGTGTAATGTATACCTACCTACATATTATATTATATTAGATATACATTATACAATTGTTAGCCGTTAGGTACTATTACTTCAACTAGAGAGATTTACCATTCATACAAGATTTATATTCATTAGAGGTGGTGTTAATAATGAGGTCAAGAAGACGGCGGGACTGGTGCTGCTGTGTACCTAATGGTAAGTGCTATAGCATTAGATACGAGGGACTTTCGGACTAACCCTTTTCTTAACGCTCCCTTAATTGCTTAACCCTTTTGTGTAATCTTATTTACTTTTTCCACCTCGATCCTCGATGTATTGTATAGACGAAAACGGGGTAAATTTATTTTTTAATTAATAAGGTTAGTTATTAAGTCATAACTTATAAGAAAAAATAAAATATTTATGACGGGAAGGGCTCGAGATTAAATACGTCATATTGATAAATTTGAACGCATTTATTACTATATACTTTTAAGTTTGTTAATTCGTTCCACACAATAAAATTGCTACTGGTTCAATTACACCTGTACTTAACCTAATAGGTAAGTAGGTAACTATTTTTATTATTTTTTTTTTAAGACCCACAGCACAGATATTGGCCATTGTGACTTTAGAAGTTTTAGTATTTTACAGCTGTGTTATTACTTATTTAGTAGCTTACAGCACAGCACAAATCCTATAAGATGCCCTAGATAATAATCTTATCTTTACATTTTATAAGAAGTCAATTGACTCTAATTTTTCAATTAACGGAGCTAAACTTGATATGCTTTGAGTAAAATTTGACGTGTCGTACGCGTGTAAGACGGAGACAACATATGCGGATTGCGGGTGCGACGTCCTTTTAACTGTGTTATAAATGATGTTGTAATATTGTTAAACATTATAATAAACAGTGACCACTGCTAATTAAAAACATGAAAGCCCGGATTCCTGATAAAAGGCCAGATACTTATAGATACGCTGTCTTTGGTATTTTGGCTTTAAATGAAGAGTATTATAGATGTAATATATTATACTGATCTAATATTATGTTTATATATATATATATTTATATAAAGAGCTTTGCATATAAAACAGTCATCTTTTAGGGCTGGGAGATGTTGGTGGAAAAAAAAACAAACAAAAAAAATTACATTCTGACGTATGACTGTGCGCGCACGGCACACTATAATATGCAAGCGTGATGATGTATATTGCTCGGAGACGGAAAATCACGCGCCTTTTGCTTCGCTGCTGAGGCTATAATATATACATTATATACATTGTATATAATATACGATTTAGCGTTCAATTTACTCTAACCCCGCAGTGTAAGCCCAATGGACTCTGAGGGTATAGGGAGGATATATGCACACAAACACACACACACCCGTTTACGAATACTGCAGTCATGTGTTGTGCCTTGTGCGTTTGAAATAGGGTGTGCTCACGCGGTGCGCAGGGGGTTAGCAGGATGAGGTGTAATAAATCGGTCGGTACCCGTCGACGGTGTGTGTGTCCATTAATCCGCTAATGGTGAAATCATACCGTTTCGTTTCGTGTCAGCGAAGGCCGTAAAACGCACACGCACCCGCTCTGCCACACACACACACACTCACACGTACATATATAAGCAAAGGAACGAAAGTCCGTCCGGGTCACTCTCTCCCATTCCTCGCTCGTGTCGACTTGTTGGACTATCGTACACACGTTACACACACACACACACATCGAAATACGAAATTCATAAACCAATAAACTCCCCGCAGTCCACCACCGCCGCCGCCGACCGCCGGACTTCAATCACTGCCGCCGCCTTGTCGACACCCGTCTTTTCACGGCTCGTAAAATCCGTTTGCTCGAAAACCCCTAGCTGTATGTACATATTATTCGTGGCCGCCGCCGCCGCCGGGGGTGACAAATGGAATCTCAAAGCTTTTTTTTATTGACTTTTCTTTCTCTCGTTTTATTTTATTTCTACGTGCGCCGCCGTATATTTGTACGTCGCGTCTAGTCACGCGTGTGTACATGATAATACGATGATGATGTTACGATAATATATAGTAATAAACAAAAAGTCCGTTATTACCGGCTGTAAAACGTTCGTCTTTTTTTTTCAAAAACTTTACCACGCAAATTCTAATGGTGTGGTGCGGTAAAATGTAAACATAAACACATACGTCATACGTATATAAACATATGTACAAACAAATGTATATTGACACATAGACACAGTAGTCCGTGTAGTAGCCGTGATATGTAGGTACGAAAACAATACACGTAACACGTGTCACGTGTGTTAAATTTGCTTCGGTATTAATGTATTATTATCCATCCCATGTGTGTATATATATAGGTACACTCTTCGTTTAAGCTTACTCGCAGTTCAGCAATAAGTATATTTATTTTTATGTTTTTACATTTCAATCGGTGTCAATTTTCGAGCGGTTTATTTATGTTTTCTTTTAACGCAGTCTTCTGCAATCTGCATCACTTATACGTATGAGTCCAGTGGCGCAACTAGGCTAACTGGGGCCCCAGTGTCCCTTTTAACGAAGGGGCCATAATTAAAATTATTTTTGCTTATTATTGTGAATAAAATTTGGTCGATAAAATGATAAATTGCCAAAAGGAAAAAAATTAGGAAATGTATTTAATGCCTAATGGTAACTTATACTTATACACTTGTAAGTTGTAACAACTG